TAGCCGTACTTTTTATTCTTAATTAATATGATGGCTAGACTGACCATTAAAAAAAATAGGCCTACTGAATTGTAAATATAAATTTTTAGTTTGCAGTACCTAAAGTATTTGTATTTGAGACGAAACCAGGTGCTTTAATTACAGTGCGAGTATTTTAAGGACGACTACTAGACTGTCAGGCTAGCCGTACTTAATATTGATGGCTGCATTGTAAATGAATTTTTTAGTTTGCAATGCCTAAAGTATTTGTCTTTCAGACAAAACCAAAAGATCTAGAGACTTTAAACTAAATAGATAGATCTAAATTAGCCTACATTACAAACCCATTGCTTTCAGGAAATGTCATCACTGTCCGAAGTGGTTGAATAAGCTCGTCACCAGACCGTCGTGAAAAAGTTGCTAAACCTTTTTCGACAGCTGGGATAAGGTCCTTGAATTCAAGACAGTCAGAAATTGACTCTGCTGAAACAAATAAAGGATGCTCCTGACTGCCTTCCATGGTGAAAATAACAAACGGCAAACGAGTACGAAGATTCCTCTATAGCCTAGCAAGAGCAGAGGACAGAAAAGTTCGCCTCGCTCCTCTCCAGTCTCCAGCTTTTTTCTCCTTTTTGGTTTCTAAATTGGTGCTGTTACTGCTAGATCTAGACTTAGATCTAGACCTCGGCTTCAACAGTAACTCTGTCACTAGATTTCTAGATCTACTGAGGGCAAGTCAGCAAGACTAGATTCTAGAGATCTAGATCTAGAATCAGAGATCTAGCGGCCTCTACTAGGAGGCTAGGCTAACAGCCGCGTGCAGAGGAAGAAGAAAAATAAAACACGAGCAAACTTTGACCCCTTGAACTCGAACCAATAACCTGTGACCTTCGACTTTTCTGCTGTTCACTAAAGTAGATCGTCTGCTGAAAATAATCCCTAATGGTTTGTTAATACGTTTTACCAGTTAAAAATTCTAACAAAGTTATAATAAAATTCTATGTTCAAAGTTATGAAATATTACTTATTTTCCAACTGTCACGTTCTAAAACTGGCTTTAACGTAGGCTAGATCTATAGCGTATTAATCGGCGAGTTTTGTTGACGCGACCTCGCCAAGCCGTCTTGCTCGACGCCAGCGGCCAACAGGCCAGCCCCAGCAGCAGAAAAATTCATCATGGCGGAGCCGGAACCGAGGCCTAGGCTGTGATAGTTCTGCGTGTCGGAACTCCCCGCTAACATTTGCATGAATGTTTGGTTGAAATAGGTGGATAATGTACGTCTTTAGATAATGTGTATTTGAAATTGATTGTGCTCATGTTATAACCTTAGATCTTGAAGTTTATGATGTTTTCCACCTTTATCTTTATCAAACCCACACTTCACGGTCCACACTACACTACACCACCACTAGAATCTAGATTTCTAGTCTAGATTCTACTTCAGGGTCAATTCGTCTGAATAGATCTAATCTAGACATAGATCTAGATCTAGATTCTGGACTTTAGTGTAGATCTAGAATCTAGGTCTAGATCTAGATCTAGAATTTAGAGATTCTAGTCGTCCAACGGCCCACGGTCACCACAGACCAATCAGTAAAGAAGAAGTGTCTCTCTACTCTCTCGTCCTGTTTCCGGGAAGATTGAAGAATACCGGACCACTCGTACATTATTGCGCGAGAAAGTGGGGTAGGTGGGGCGGGTGGTTGGGGGGTAGGGGTTCAGGGGGGGTCACCCCCCTGACAAAATTTTAATGAATAGATCTACCGGTCCGAGATTCTCCATTGAGAGATATTAAAAAGAAAGTGGCTATTCTCACCCGCCCGGAAGTTCTCGCAAGATCTACTCCTCCCCTCTTCTCTCTCTCTCTGTCTCTTTCTGAATACTGTCTATCGGTGTGGACGATCAAATTGACCAAAACAAAGTTAAAAAATGATGTTAAAACACAAAAGTAAATTAATTTGGTTGTCTACAAAGATGCTACGGCTATTTAACTTTTCGAATCGAGCCGAACTACGCGGGTCGCCATTTTGTTTTGTTCTCTCTCTCACTCTCTCTCTCTCCCCTGCCCACAGACAAAATTGTACGCTTTTAGTAGGCTACAAGTACAGTTGTAATGGAACGTTTGTTCACAGCACAGAATTCTACAATTTTTCTCTTATCACAGTGTAGTATTCTGTGGTTTAGGGTGAACGCAAAATTTGTTGACACGCGCACCGGGTGAGAATAGATAGCCACAAGACCCGCCTGCACTATTCTCACCCCGGGTGAGAATAGAGGTGGCCATTAAAAACAGGAAAATTATGAATTCCTAAGGTTGAGACATATAGTATAGGCAAAGTCAGTCCGCTGGTCCGGTATTCTTCAATCTTACCTGTTTCCAAAAGTGAAGTGGCTATTTTCACCCGGGGTGAGAATAGAAATACGATCGACCTCTCACCCCGGGTGAGACTTGCCACCGTAGGCTATTCTCACCCGGTGTGAAACAAGACCTGTTTTTCCTCATTTCGGAATACTTTCTATCGATGTGGATGATCAAATGGAAAGACAAAGAAAAGATTACGTTATAGCACAAAAGTAAGCTAATTTTATCGACTACAAAGATGCTATGGCTATTTCACTTTGCGAATCGAGCCGAACTAAGGGGGTCGCCATTTTGTTTTGCTCGGAAGTTCTCGCAAGATCTAGAGTAATATTACCGGTTCGGTCAAAATAAGGACGAAAACAGGCACGTCGACTTTAAAGCTTTATATTTATATATCTCCTATCTGCCTTGCCCTAGAGACAAACCGAAACCAGCTACAGGAAGTCATGTGATTGGATGACCCCAGGAATGACCTGTTTCAGCTTGTTCTCATGTTTGAGGCCCTTACTGGGTGCAAAAGTGACGCCCGATTTATTTATGAGTTCGGTCGCATTTTTTTGGTTTTCTCATGGATTCGGGCAGTATTTTGACATTCGGTCATTTTCAATTATTATCACATTTGTTTCTTTGCAAGCTTAATAACATGATTTTTAATGTTTGTTATCAACACTTGGACACAATGATAGTTTGTCTAAAGTGGTATTCACCATTTATAGCTATTTTAATGAGTATGTATCTGACCCACTCTACTACGTGGTATCTGACTCTACTACACTGGCATCTAGCTCACTCAACTACACTGGGTCTGACTCGGCTACACTGATATTCGACTGTATTACACACTGGTATCTGACTCTATTACACTGGTGTCTGACTGAGTTAATATGCTGTATCTGACTCTACTATTATTTAAATTATGCACAAATTCTTTATTCTTTGTTATATATCCATTGGCTCTATATTATCTTATGTGCCCGAAGGATGAGAAACTACGGATTTTATGTTACAATCCGGGCACCCCCCCTTTGGGCAAAAACTGCGAGATTAAACGGCAAATTCTCTTTCATCCTTGACCTTTCATGCCCCCCTGAAACCCCCCTTCCTATTTTTGTTAGGTCAGGGGGGCCTGAAACCCCCCTACTCTTGGGGCCAAAACCCGTGAATAACATTAACAATTGCGGGGTGGGAACTACCGAAAAAGCGCCCAGAATTCTACTATTTTTCTGTTATCACAGTGTAAAATTCTGTGGTTTAGGGTGAACGCAAAATTGGTTGGCCTACATCTCGCCCGGGGTGAGAATAGAGGTGACCCTTCTGAAAGATGCCATCCTGGCCTTCAGCAAAACATGGGGACTCTTTCTTGAGGGGGGAGGGGGGGTCCCAGCCTAACTTCATAGAGATTTACATTATGTACACGATCGAAAACAAAACCAGAGGTTGCTTTAAAAAACAGGGAGTGTATACAGACCCGGTAACCGGGAACAAAGTCACAAAGTATACTTGTCCCCGTAGAATTATGCAAATTTAGAAGGCCAAGTTATGCACAAAGAAAGAAAAATTATGCAAGTTACCGTAACACCATTTGCGACATGTTTTGCATTTTTTCAACACGAAGTTTCATGATTTTCATGTTTCAAGTACAGAAAAATTGAAAACAGAACATACCAGTATCAGTAATTTGTTGTGTATTTGGAAAAGAAGACAATACACATATTCAGTAAAAAAAAATAATAATTTTTTAATAAATAAAAAATATAAAAAAAACAACCAAAAATATTAATCTCTGTAACTTTCAGCTGTAGATCTAGATTTTAGTTCTATAGAGGAAAGAAAAATGTTTGTAAAAAAATTTTTTTAAAGGACATCTGGACCTCTGATGCTGGCACATTACTAAAACCAGGGACACCTGTCAAACATGAAACATCAGCAGACATGAGAACAACAACTTTTGATGGATTGAAAAATTGAACATGCTCAAGGAACAAAATCACAACCCATTTACCAAGATCTTCTAATAAGGGAAATAACCAACTTTTCACTTAAATGAGACTTATTACGGTGATTACGTCCCTTTAGTCACATGGCGAGGCGTTAATTAATTGTTTTGTGAAAAAAAAGGGGAAAAACGCGGATAATCCAAAATTATGCAAATGTTGCAGAATTACGCGAAAAAACGCGGCCGCGCACAATCGCATAATCCTACGGGGACAGGTATACAGACCCGGTAGGGGAACTCTTGGCTCAGGGTAGACCTAGAATCTAGGTTCTTCTAGATCTATGGCCTAGGTCTAGATCTAGACAGACAGACATAAATCGTTGATCTAGTTTTGAGGCTAGCCTAGCCTAGATCTAGATCTAAATGAAGATTGCGGATGTCTTTTTGATGAACGATCGTTTATCCTCCGTTTCGGAGTTGGAGGAATCACGATTTGAAGAAAAGAACAATGCATAATTTTAATTGAGCAGTGACCCTCTTTATTTCTCTGCCTCTCTCTCTCTCTCCTCTGTGTATCGCTCGCCTTCTCTTTTTCTTTGTTTGTCTCTGTCTTTCTTTCTCCCCACCTATTTCCCACCCTATCTAAATCTTTCTCTCGTTCCTTCCTGCCAACAGGGGCATGACATATATATATATATACATTTTGCTAGCACTTCTCTCTCTCTCTCTCCCTCCCTCCCTCCCTCCTTTCTTCTCGATCGCATAGTTAACGCTGTTGTCTGGTTGCTCTTTCTGTGCTCCTAGTTTGGCCATCCTGTCTGCCTGTTCATTTCCTAAGACACCACAGTGTGATGGAATCCACTGCAGCATGATCCTCAGACATGGGATTTCCTCAATTACTTTTCGTAGCCTCGGTAGTTTGCCGGAAGTGATTGCCTGCAGTACTGACATGGCGTCTGTTAGGAATACTACTTGGCTTTGGGGGGTCTACCACATTCTTGATGATGTCTTCTCTCTCTCTCTCTCTCTCTCTCTCTCTCTCTCTCTCTCTCTCTCTCTCTGTGTGTCTCTCTCTCTCTCTCTGTGTGTCTCTCTCTCTCTCTCGCTCGCTCTCTCACACACACTACAGGATCTGGGCGCTGAAACTTTCCGAAATTACAAGAGTTCCCCTACCGGTTCTGTATACTTCGTGACTTTGTTCCCGGTTACCGGGTACTCTATACACTTCGTTTAAAAAAAGGGGGGGGGGGGGGGGTGCATGGGGGACTTCCCCTGCCAAAAGAACTTTTCATTCTTAGGTCTAGATCTGGAGCCCCCTCTCGGCATACCATCACCTTAGTGTTTCGTGATGACTATTTCCAGAAGTGAACTTTTGTATTACCATAACTTTGGCTCTTTCAAAAACATCGACCCAAAATTTCGTTTCGTTGAGAGGCCAGCCTTTCCTGTCGGTGTGGGGCACAGAATTCTACACTTATACTTATAGAACGGGAACTGTACCACGTGACCTGTGAGGAATTGAAGACCGAAAACTATAATGGCGTCTTGAGGGCACGATTATCGTTTTCGGAAGTAACCCTATAGCTTTTAAAGCAAGAGCGGTTTTTACAAACGAGTGAAAAGTGGAACGTTTACTGTCCAGTTTGTAATTTTGAGTTACAGAATTCACTGTGGAACCTAGAGATTAAGGTTTTAAATTGTTGTGATTTTGAGTGCAACAACAGAAAAAGCAGACATACAGAGTTTATAAATATAAGATCTTCAGAACTGTGAAAAAATTCGTAACACGGATCAATTGGATTGTTTACAGCACTTCTAGCTTCCCACACACATTTTGCATACGCATATGGCCTACGTAATTTTTTAGTAGCAAAACTTGTTACAAGAAATTTGTTTTACACTGAACATATTTTTTCACTAGATCTAATTAATGTTCTCAAAACATGCTTTCAATAATTAGCTTTATGTCGCCAGCAGAAGTAGAAAAAAGGACGGACTTGCTTTTAAAAGAGATTTAGCTCCAGCTATAAACTTTTTAAAAATCTGTAGAAACCATTGACTGGGATTTTTTTTTTAATATTGGGCTAGTATTTATTAAAGAATTTTCTTTAAAGAAATTTCTAGAATAATATAGAACCTATATATGTGTACAAATGTTTGAAAAAAATACTCATCGGTTAAGACGAATTGATATATATAGATCTAAGCCATTGTGTAAAAGTAGGAGAATCTAGATCTAGGTGTTCGATAGTTCAGTAGCCTAGATATTTGATAATAAGTTGCGCATCAAATTTTTGACTGCATGCTACAGTAGTAGAGATAGCGTATTATTTTCATCCGAAACATTCATTTCCGCATCCATACACCTTTTTGGGCCTTTATAAGCACATGTAGTCCTACTTTAATTATGTTACTTTCATAATTGTTTTTGAAAGCATTTTCAATTCATTTCATTTTTACTTCCCACGCGCGGGCACATATAATTATGATTATAATTTAAGATTCCAAATCTGACGAATGTATTATTAAATAGCGTATAATGCTGAGTTAGCCAATGACAACGCATTGCAATGCGCGCTATTATCATTATTGAATTGTAACAAGACTTCAATTTGATCTGTAACAAAAGACCACTTATTTTTTTATACGTGTTCATGAATGTGTGTTTGTTTACTGTGTGCGGGGATTAAAAATTAAAGATTAAAGATTCCAGATCTGACGAATGTATTTATAAAATAGCGTAATAATGCTGGGTTAGCTGATACTAGTGATACACGCTTTTATCAATTAATTGAATTGTAACAGGACTTCGATTTGATCCCTAACAAGACACCACTTATTTTTTCTTATTCGTGTTCAAAATTATGTGTTTGTTTACTGTGTGCGGGGATTACAGGGGAACAAGCCCATCCCCTCGACATGTGATCCAGGGTATGGAGGTACATTTTTCTCAAAATGCACACAGCTCTGAAATCCTTGACCAGTGATCACTCACCATGGAACTCTTTCTGTTGTGACTGTAGACACGTTTCTTCATTATCACATCTGAATGAGCCTATCATTCATGCATTAGAAATCACACTCCCAACACACAGAAAATGACTTTGAACATATATTCAGGAAACATATGCCAGTTCCACTCTTGTTTACTTTGTTTTGCATTATTGGCTTTTATGTGTAAACCAATATTTTGAGGCCTTTTCTGCATTTTTGTGTTTTTGGCAGCATGTACAATAGGCCTTCACTATGTATTTTATGTGAAACCGACACATTCTTTAATCTCTTGTATTTGTTAGACTCGCACGTGCTTTAAACAAAACATGTTGTTGTACACACTACTGATGCAGACACAGAGATTAATTCTTAAAGTGAGAAATAATACATTTCCTCAATATAAGCTCAATTTATTTATCTCTTTCTTACTCTCTAGTAAATTGGAGAAAAGGCTTATATTGTTCTTTTTTGCTTGCTTTGGATGGCCTTAAGTTTAATGACAATATTATTATTATTGTAGTGAGCATGTTACTGTCAGCGTCCCCTTTATCGTAGATCTAGTACTAATCAAGACTATATCTAGATATTTTGTCAACAGAATTAATGTTCATAATTAGTGTTACTATCAAGTGTGTATTGTGATTGTGAAGATCTTTAGTAGATCTAGATCTATCTAGATCTAGATCCCATCCCATCATTTTAAAAAAACAACAAACCAACAATACAAATACAAAAACATTGTAACATTGCCAATTATGACATATATTGTTGGCAATAAAAATGTACTAGACTATTTCACTATATTTCCTCTTCAAAGAAAGTTTTAAAATACTGATGTAAGGTGTCTTCCAAGCCCTACCACTAGCATCAGCGTGCAGAGCAACGCGAAGCCTCGCTGTGCGGCGCAGCCAAAGGTGCCCTCAACAGGCCGCCATGTTTTAGTTTCAATTCCTCACAGCGAATCAGCGATCGCAAAGAGGGAGTTCCGCTTCTATAAATGTAGAATTCTGTGGTGTGGGGTGAAGTTTTTTGTCAGATAGTGTATAAAGAAGACCCCTAACCGAGACTTGACGCATGTCATGGCATGCACCCCATATCGTCACCTATCGGGTTTTCTGGAGGGTCGGTCACCCCATACCGTCACCCCCTACCCTCCCCCCCCCCCCCCCATACCAGCGCACTCAAATTGAAGCACAACTAGTCTAGGCGTTTGTAAAGAGGAAAGAAGCAAAGACGAACTCCTTTAGTACAGTGGGCCTAAAACAGAACTAATGTTTATTGACATTCTGAAAAGAACAACCACCAGAACAGACTCGCATACATTTTACTCACACATTCACGGTAATGAACATAGGCTAAACTTTCTTTCTAAAAAATAAAGAGGGTCGGTTTCTTTTTTTTTCTTTTTTTTTATTCTCTGTTTTGGGTTTGTTTTTTGTGGCTTTTTGTGTTTTTGTGGGGGGTTTTATTTTAATGCAAATTTGCGGACCAAAAATTGCCAAAAATCGCGGGTGGCCGCCGGGACAAACGTAGATGCTAGCTTATTACCCAGATCCAGCAAGTATGAATATAACATCTTGAAGAATGCCTGAATCTCTAGGGTTTGTAATTATGCAAGATTTAAAAACAACAACTTTTAATTAACTTTGAAATTGTCGTACAGCCATCCATTGTAATTGTAATTTCTTAAGCTGAGAGAGTGGTTTTGTTTTGCGGGACTAAGTTTTAGCTTACCTAATTCAACACGTGTTGTGCGATGTAGATCTTGACAACAGGAGAAATTCCGTAACGAGCGACTACTATGAAACAGAGTAGAACAGAGGGTTGGAGTTTGGGTATGGGTAGGGTTAGAAGTTGGATCAGGGTTACACCCCATACCGTCACCCCCTACTTAATGGGATGATTTCTCGTTACGGAAGCCTTTCCCTTGACAGTAGCAGGCTACTGTCGCTTACTGTCGCTACTACTGTGAGGAGGAAAGGGGCAGAGTCAGCTGGGAGGTAGGGTGAAACAGCCCTAAATGCTACATCGCAAAGAGCTATGATCGTGGCTTCAGTAGGATAAAATACACGTTTGGTATTCGTGCAGCGTGATTATCTGGCAACGTCTGCTGGTCATTTTTAACTGTTTGACTGATTACGATGTTTCACCGGCATTTACCCTGTAGTTTTGGTGTACAATGGACGATTAGAGCAGTGGTTTTAAGTCAGCAATCAAGAGGAAATAGAATCCTGAGAATCTGCTTATTATGTATGACATTTGGATTGATTTATTTATCAGTGTTTTCACAGATTTTATGACCCATATAGATATATTAAGTCTATTTATTGAAAACGATAAAAGTCACTGCAATTATGAACTGTCGGCACTGGTGTTTTTATAGAGTAGAAAATAAAATTTAGTTAAACCTTTCACTTAACCTTGTTTTGGGGGTTTTCTCCTTTAGCCTTTAGCACAGGTTTGGCTGTGTCGTACTAGGAAGTGGAAAAATACATTGGGGGGGGGGGGGTTGTTTAGGTTAATATTCCTTACACACACACACACACACACACACACATACACACACACACACACACACCTTGTTTTTGTGCTGGCATATTTCTTTTTTTATTAGATCTTTTTTTCAAATTGCTAATATTTTTTTTTTCTCATCTCCCCAGATATGATCAAATCAGTGTGCAGAAGAGCTGAAATACTTCACTGCAGACAATTTGCAGGTTTTTGCAATCTCCCACAACCTATTTGAGGGTATTTTTAAGTTGATTGTTAAGAATACTGCATTATGAATCAGTACCCAGCTGGACTAGTGCCCATGATGGTACCACAGCAGTACATGGTTGTGCCAGGAGCAGCTATGCAACTGCCCCCAGGCATGCCTGGGCACCACCCGCATTCAGCTCTCCAGCCAGCAGCCATGCTGCATCATCAGCAGATGGCAGCACAGGCTGCTGCATCCCATGCTGCTGGAGCGCCAGTCATCACATCGCCAGTGGTCACATCAGCAGGGGCAGTGGCTGCTTTAGCTGTGGGGCACCAAGGCATGGCTAGCATTGCGGGCCTGCCTCCTCACTTAGCCGGGGTAGGTGCCCCTGTGATGTCTGCCATGGGGGGAGCTGTGCCCGGACTGCACCAAGCTGTTCCAGGAGCTATTCCCACCCCGTTCTCAGGACTGTCGCCCCTCACAGCAGCCTCTTCACTCGCTGCCTCTGGCCTATTAAGTCAGCAGCAGCAACAGCAGCAGCAACTTCAACAGCCTCCACCTCAACACCCGTCCCCCCAGCTGCAACAACTGCAGGGTCTCCAACAACCATCGCCAACACCGCAACAACTAGTCAGTGGCCAGGAGTACTACAGGAAAAAAGATGATGATAAAGGGTAGGTGTAAATTCCTGCACTGAGGTAATAATGAAGTATGCATTTTATATCTCTTGAAAATCTGAAATGGAAAGAACTGGTTTACAAGTACAGTGGAACTCGGATTCAACGAAGCCGTTGGGCCTAACCTTCATTTTCATTGAATTCGAGTGTGTTCAAACACAAGGTTTTTGTGTAGATAATTATCTGCGCCAAGCAAATAATGTATAATGTAGGCCTATTTGACTTTGTCAATCAAAAGTACTTTGGTTTCAAATGAGAGGCATTTTTATTTCTTTGATACCATGTAGAAGAAATGCTGGAAAAATAAAGAAAATACTCTGAACTCTTCCAAGCACACACTGTGCGAAAGGGCTGATTCTTTCAAATGTACACCTGTGTCATCTATCATCTATAATAATAACAACTTACTGTTTGCCAAACAAGTAATGTTGCTATGTGTTAAACCAAGCAAATGGCAACATTTGACTCCACTGTCCTGCATGCAATTCATTAGTCCTACATACTACGATGTCAAGACTAGCTTTTCATTGGAATATATTGACCCGTAGCCGGGGGGGGGGGGGGGGGGATAATAGATAGCATTGCTGTTGGGCGGGGATTTGCGCTATACAAATTGTAACAAATACTATCTATTATTAAAAACAACTGTGACGCGTTCGTATCTCTGCTGACGTTCCACCACCGGTCCGCTTTTGGGGCGGCGCCCACACTGTCACGCTTGTGCTTGCCGTCCATTCGACCGCAACACACACTGAGAATAGTTGTGGGCATATCGAAATCGAAATATTGATATTTTTACACATGATATCGATCGTATCAAAGCAGTGAGAAAAATATAGATATTTTGATATATGCTCACCACTCAGCACCGCATTTCCAGAAATTAGCAGGTGTGGGGAAATCAGGCGCTCAACATAATAATCAATGAATTCAAAGAAATTGGCATTTTTCTGACCGTTGGGCAATTTTTTTCTCAGTTTCTTTTTTTTTTTTTTTTTTTGGTTCAACGTCATTTGAAAACATTTCTGTGTGGATTTTACTGAAAAACATTGATTAAAGGCACAAAAAATGTCAGTTTTCTATTTCCAAGGACCCTGAAACTATGGAAATTACCAGACTTTGATTGAAATTTTCTCGCTAATTTCACCTCTGAAACCAGGCGACACTGACCCCCTTCAATCGCAAATATTTCGACTTCTGTTCAACTTAGATGGACATTTTTTTTCACCAAAAGCAAGGCAAATGAACAAGCTTTAATACAATACCAATAACCCAATGTGCCCAGAATTTGACATTCGCCTGATTCCACCATGTCGCGCCAACAATACTATGAGTGGATCTGATTCTTTTAATTTGCTTTAGTTTTGTTATTTCCAACGCCTGGGTTCTTTGAAGCCAAATCAGAGCGCCATACTGACTTCATTTCATCCATTGTGTGAGAGGGACAGAGAGGAAAGAAATAAAGCGATAGTGACAGAGAAAGAATGAAAGAGCGAGATAGGGAGGTGGAGGGAAAGAGAGAGAGAGAGCGAGAGAAAATTTCTACAAGGAAACAGATTTTATGTTTCCCCCCTCAATAAAACTCACACACAAAAAAAAATCATTTTTAAAATAGAAGACAGCCGTGTTTCGCGTGTCGATATTATCGACCAACGACCAGACTCGATAATTATATATATCGATAAATTTGATGGCGAATTTCAATTTAACAATTATAATTTTGTAATGTGGAAAAATATGTGAAATATCTTGGGGGGAAAAATATCGATGTCGTATCGAATTTGATATAGCTGATATCGCCCATCACTAGCTGAGAAATATGAGCATGGTTATAACGCTTATTAGTATATGAAAGAAGTACGCTGATTGGTCGTATGTAAGATCTAAAAGAGGCTAAACGAATAATGGTTAACGATGCCGGTGCAATGGATGGTGTCCAGGACGGAAGCCTCTTCAGCGGAGGCATTTCACCCTGCAAGTGACTTCGTTGAAACCGAGCTTGCTCATTTATGTGTTCACTGAATCCACGTTATTTTTTATTGATTTTAACTCAGTCGCTACGTATTATTTTGGGCTTGTGGACGAATTTTTTTACCGGGGGGGGGGGATAAGATGATTACTAGTGAGCAGTTCAAAGGTATTGGGGGCCACAAATTCAAATAAATATCAACATTTATACACCAAAATTTTCATTATGATTTGTAGAATACATCTGTCCTGTAATGTTTATATGTGTATTTTTCAACTTTGGTTTCCATAAAAGGCGATTATGCAACACAATTTTAATTTTGCTTGAATGTGAATAAAATTTAATGAAAATAAGAAAAATTAATCATCTTTGGTGAAACTCAAAAGATAATATGTTTGCACCTAGTCAAATGATACATCAAAATAACTATACTATAAATGAATGTAGAACTGGAAAATATTGAAAAATTTGCAGTTATATGATACATTCCACATAATTTGTGCATTCGGATCATAACATCCGATATTGAAGAAGGGGGGGGTTTATGTTCTTGAAAAAAGGATAAAATGCATTCACAAACAGAAAAAGACACCTCATGTATCTTGTATGGAATTGTTCAGAATTGCATTTGGAATAAACCTACACTTGTCCAGATTGGTACTTTTTGTGTAATTTCACCCCAAAAATAGTGATTTTTGGGGAGAAAAAAATATTTTGACAATTTAGATCTAGCACTATGTTGATATCTCAATAACAGTAACAGAGCAATGGCAATTTGTGTCCATTTTACAAATATAGTGTTTGGTTTCCTGTATATTCTAAAGAAGAGCCCTACATTTCTTTGGTAAGTTAAATAATTATCCATTTTGCTGTGTAAAAGTTGGCCTACTAAAACTGGTGTCTGGGCTATAATTTGGCCATCACGATAAAACAAAGTCGCATAAACTTCGAAATCGTGTTTCAAAACCGAATCAAAACTTCCGATTTTCGGTGGAAACGCTTGACCCAGAAGTGAGCGTTGTATTATAACCTTTATTTTAACATGGATATATGTGGATTGGAATAAAAACTAAGCTAGAATCATAGGTCAGCGTCGGGGGCGGCTTGGCGCAGTGAAGTCACCTTAGCCGCCCCGCTGCCCATGGCTCGGCGTAGCGAATGAGTTAATTAATAGATAACACGGGGAATTCAACTCCTTTCATTGAATCCGAGTTCGTTAAATCCAACTTCCGCTATAATATATTCTTCGCATTTTTGTGGCTTTTTTTTTCTTTCTCTTTCTTTCGTCAGTTTATTTTCTTTCTAGTATTTCTAGATCCCTTAGTTCTTTTTGCAGGTTGTATTGTTTACTTACAGGCTCCCATCATGATCATCAATCGCAGCTTTTGCTCTATTTGTTTCCCTGAGGGGTTTTTTTGTTGTTTGTTTCACATTAAGTTAGGGTTTTTCAAACTTTTTTTCAAAGTGGTCTGGATAGTTAATAGAGTGCATATAGGGCGGGTTAGAACGATTTTGTTCATATTACAATACCATTGTGGTTTTCCTTGTAACATTCATAACAATGCTGAAAAGAACAAATTTAGCATGCACATTGTGATTGTCAAGTTGACGGACACTGAAATCTGTTTGTCATATGTGCACATAAATACAAATTTTGTACGTGCTTTTTTTTAAATAAAAGGAAAATACGACGTTAGAAAAAATTCAGGACCTGAAAATCTGTTCTATGTGTAAGTGTTGGCTATACATATATGTGTGCACTATGCTGCATTAATCATTTTTTCCAAGGACAAAAACCCAGGAAAGACCAAACGTTTGCAATATTAGTATTAGCATATTATCTAGGTATAATCACAGCAATCTAAACAATAGATATACACTTTATCTAATATGGTTTGAATTTGAATTTGAATTTTGACCTATACGATCACAAAAAATGGCCTAGCGGTGGACTGATCAACATTATTATAACTTTATACTGAGAAAAATATTAGGATCTTTCTCTTTTATTTAAAACTCTTCTACTTTGAGAGAATAGAGGCCTTAGATCATGTAAGCTGGAAATGAACACTCATTTTGAGTTCTGTAAAGGGTGCCTTTTGGAAATATCATTTTATTTTCTTATTTATTTAGGTACGGCAGAGGTGGCAATCGTTGGCAGACTGATCCTGAAATGGATGTGGAAGAACTCAATCTTGATGAATCGGTTGTGGCTCTGGACCATTTTAACTCGGATCTTAGTCTGGTTTTGGATCCTGATGGGTAAGATATGTTACAATTTGAATTTTATGTCAAGTGTTGCTCTGCTCTGAGTATGCAAACTTTCGCTATAATCCATCTCTTACTCAGAAACTCTTGAATTGATTTTCCTCGTCAGGGCTTTATTATGGTAAATGGACTACAGGGACTACAAAATATCTGTTTGTTCGACCATTGATTTCAATGATGAGCTTCTGGATACAAAATTTTGAGTAAAGAGTGCTACGCAAATATGCACGACATGTAAACGTTGATTCTGTTTAACAAGTCGTCATGAGAATAGTTTTTAGTTCAGCAGGTGTCCTTCAAATACTTTTATAATGATGTGATATGGATTTGTTTATTTAATGGATATAAGATCTATTGTAATGTGATATACATTGTTAAAACTATTGATGATAAATGTTCCATATATTTTTAAAGGTATAGTATGTCACTCTTAAGGCAAAGGACCGCGTTCTGGTGTGATTTATTGACGACTTGAGCTTTTTCTCAGGTCCGTCATATCCATTATTTTGAGGTAGGTAGAATCCAGTGCTCAGTTTTTTACAAAAAGAATGAACTCAGAGGACTTATATGCACTGTACTCTCATTGAATCTGTGTAAGACCCTGGACAGTTTCCTATGAAGAAGATTGGGTCTTCTCAGTTGAGTGCTCTTGCAAAAGTTTTGTTTTAGCCCAGATTCAAAAATGAAAAAATTGGTCAGATATAATCAAGAGTACCTTGAAAAAAGATGGATAAGGCGCGCTGCATTTTGGTAGGAAAATTTGAAGAGTGGATATTCCCCTACGCAAGACTTAAGCAGGGCTGCCTAAATCTACCGATTTTTCCGGTAGATACTGATTTTGGGCCTGTTCTACCGACATACCGATAAGGTGTCAAAACTACCGGATTTTCGATGGGTGCCGAGAGAAGAAAAAGAAGAAAAAAACATTCTGCAGTGCTTCCATTCTTCTTTGTTTTTACGGAAATCCGTACATTCCAAAAGTTCCGTACTTGCCACATGATCATATCAACTCCATGCGTTGAGAGAGAGAGAGACAGAGATCAGCATGTTCCTCCGTAACTTGTCAGATATTTACAGCAACTCCAGGCAATAAGTTGTATTAGAAACTGCCAGATTGTGCATTTCGTACACTCAACCATTGTCTATCTGTACCGTTCTGTCGGCAGTAGTTTTTCACGTGCATTTCAGCTGAAATCTGTCTACTCACGATAGACAATCTTCCTCCTTCTTTTCATTCATTCTTTCTTTCTGTCTATCTTCATTTTTTTTGCTGCTGCTGGAAAATCTGTGCACTTAATTCATTTATCTAGAAAACAGAATTGTGAATGTAGAAGGAAAATCAGTATCGAAGCAAAACATTCTAAAATCTGTCTTGGTCTAGAGAATTGTTCAGTACCAAATGAGGATTCTACGCTGGGGGGACTGCGGGAATTTATTACCCGGGAAGCTGAAAAAAAAAGTCGCTTAGACCCGCGAAAATGCACAAAGTCCTTGAAACCAAATCTGAAAAGGCCACAGAGTTCATATTTTACCGGTCGCGGTTTTGATATTACGTTCGGCTTTCCCCAGTCCGAGAGTATGTTTCACGCGAATGAGCGGCTATGGCGGCAGGCGGAACTGTAGGTGTAATGCTGAGACTCCATCGGGAAAATCAAACTCTACTTTCGCTTTCGTTACTGCTCAGAATTGTCCTATGATAGTTCGTTAACGTTAGATTTCCAGTTAATAAAAATTTGTAACCTGCAGTTTGTGCATAAAAAACACAGTGTAGCCCTAAAAATTAAATCGATATTCTCACTAATGTCACTATAATTACAAAAAAAGGAGAAAAAGAAAACACGCGTCCTCCGATTTCTCAACTGTCGGGCTCCTCATCGTGACCGGGCAATGAACCTGTGAGAGACGAGAGTTCGTGAGTACGGCATGAGCAAGGGACCGGCCGGTGGTTGTTGGGGAAAGCCTAATCAAAGTTCATTCTAAGTAGGAGTGTTGCAGGGTGTCGGAATTGAGGGGAGGCGTTTGACGCAATAAAGTCTACGGCATCTGGAAAAGGCAAGAAACTGATGCTAGAATAAAAACGATTAGTGGAAGTGGTTTTGACATTCGACATTCGAGTGCGTAAATGAGGGAATATTAGAGCACAGGCTTGATGATTGTATCTTCAAGGTTGCTGTTCCCGGATTTGTCAGTGATGACAAATTGAATAGTGGTAATGAGGAAATGCCATTTTCAACCCTCGGAAAGCTCTATGTTGGATGCCTTTGCATCATGATCGCTTGTTGCTGATTAAATACTGGTACTGTGATTTAGCATTTTGAAAAAAATCAATACTTAGTCCATGATGCAGTGATTCACTGATTGCCAGGTTTGCAGCATCACTACATCCCAGGCTCTCACAGTTCTTCCAGCCCGGCTCTCGGTACACACTCTCTTTTATTTTCACTTTTTACTCTGCCATGAGCCTAACTATAAAGGTTTTATAAATAAGTTTTGTCTTGCATGCTTTTTAAAATCCGTGATTGCTGAAACCAAACATGGTTTTGGCAGTTGATGTTCTTCTTGCCTTTCCTCAGGCCCAGATCAGAATTCATTTTGTATTTTTAGGGTAAAACTAGTTGAACTCAGTTTGGCAATCAACCTGCACTCAATTCCTGATTCAATACTGAATGATAGGTGCCTTGAACGATAGTCCTTAAAATTATTTTTAAAAACAACAACCTCGCCTCATTACATACACACTGTTCATCGTAACTTGTGCACACCCATACGCCCCCTTCCTTCCCCACGCTCATCACATGCGAGAGCATGGTAACATGCACACAGACACACACACACACACACACACACACACACACACACACACACAAATGTGCATGCACAAACAAGTTTTCAAAATATAATTACCCAATAACACGGAAAGCAAACACGTTCGATGGGGCAACAGTCATCTTTTTTTTTCTTTTTTATCTTTGTACTACCTGATTTTGGGCCAGTCTACCTGAAAATGACCCTGAAACTACCTGAAATGGGAACTTTGAGGTAGGCAGCCCTACTTAAAGAATGCAGACAAAGAAAAAAACGGAAGAATTGTAATGATACATGGTTATCTTCTCCACAGCTATGGAGCTACAACTCTCAATAATCCCCCAGGATTTTGCTTCACTTGGTCTGGTGTAAGAGCTACTTATGGAGTTTGTAGAGGAAAGGTGAGAAATTTTTTTAACGTCATCTTTTATGTCCGGTTGTAATTGTCTTTCTAATGCTCTGTTTGTTGTTGTGTCTGTTTATTTATTGTTTTGGGTTTAAAAATTTGTGTGTGTGGGGGGGCGCATACACAGAACTCAAGGTCAAATTTTTAACTGGGTCTTGTGTCTTGTGAGGGTGG